CCATCTATTATATCGCTGCATACCCTTAATAAACATCCTGTTTTAATCCTTCTTCTTTTCTCTTAAGTTCCAACGGCTACTTACTCGGTAGAATATAAAATATAATACGAAAAAAAAACGAAATCCAACTAAAAAATGGGATTTTATGATTTTTTTTTTTGTTTTTCTATTATGTACTGTTATTAGGGTTAAATGCCCTCTGCACTTTGACCTCAGTTGCATGTTGCCCCCTGAACTCATAAAATAAGCACTTTACTCAGTATTTAATATTTTAAGACAAAAGTGCCCTTGTTATTTTATTTTATTTATTTTTTATTCATTCATTCTTTTATTTTTCCTTTTTCACTACTTTCTTTTATTTCTTATTTTTCTTCTTTTGCTACTTTCTTTTTTCCACTTCTATTATGTCACTATTTTGTTTCAGTTTTCTATTCGTATTATTGTAATATTGTAATTAGTTTTTCTTATAATTTCATTCTTACTTTATTTATTACCACTATTAGAAATTTCAAGATAAACTGTATAGTGTAACAAATTAATATATCCCTATCATAATAAAAAATGTGTATATTAGTAATAATTTGACCATTTAAAGAGTATTAGCAAATTAGAATTTTAAATTATTTAATATTTAAAAGTATATCCCAATAATAAAGTAATTAATATTTTTGTTTACTTTTATTTTATATATAGCTGATTAGCAAATATGTTATTACGATTTGAATTTGTTCCTATTGTTATTAAAAATTAATTTATTCTAAACTCTAGACGTATTGATTTAAGTAATATATGAAATAGTTATATGCATAAATGGCATATATTTTGTTATAACATAGACTTTATGATAATTATTATTTCAAATAACAAAAGTAAAAAAAGATAGAAATAAATAAAAAATAAGTTCAAGAAGATTAAAACTAATATATGGATAATAATAGCAAAAACAACAAAGTAACTGATCACATGAGACAAAGGAAAAAAATTTAAAAAATACAAAAGAAAAGGACAAAAAAAGAGAAAAAATAAAATAATAAATAATATGGAAGGCACTTTATCCCAAAACATAAAATAGGGAGGTAAAGTGCCTATTCATTGAATAAAAGCGTAAAATGCAATTAAGGATAAAGTTCAGGAGGTACAGTGCTTTTAATCCTTGTTTTTAAATCTGTTGTATATTGTTTTCTAACTTACCTGTAGTAGTTGGAACTTAAGGGAAACAAGAAAAACTTAAATGGGATGTTCATAAAGGTTATATAGTGATATAATAGATGGTGAACTAAGTTTAGTTTAGTCTTTTAATTATGTCATGAACTATATTCAGTCCCCGTTTGGAGTTGTGGTATTTGTAGTGTGAAAAAAAAAAGAACATTTTTAGGTATTAAAAGTACTTTTAGGACATTTGGTTAACATCATCCCATAAAATTAGAAGTGGAACTTTTTCGTATTAAAAGCATTTTTAGCAAAAACTCAAATTTGATGCTTTTAGAGTTGTTTTTGTGATTTAAAAAATAAAATATTAAATTTAATCCTTTTATCCTATATTATGAACTAAATAAAGAAATAAATACATTTAAAAATTTTCAAATTACGCATTATCTAATATAATAAGTACTTATTGAATTATGTTTTCAAACAATGTATTTAGAAGCACTTAAGCATTTGATAAGTACTTTTATTAAAAATTATATTGAAAAAAAATACTTTTTTGTAAGCCAACCCCAAACGGGCCCTTAGTCCCCCCAAGTTTTAAGAATAAACAAGAAGTTTCAAAGAAAAAAATATGAATAAACGAAGAAGTTAAATGTGTTAACCATTTATTTACCAAAAAATTTGAAAGGCTAAACAAATTCCATCTTGCCAAAGATAACGATAACAAAAAGATGCCAGTGAATAGCTTTAAATTTCATCTTATGTCCCTTCATATCCTCCAACACAATTGTCTTTAACAAAAAAAAAAAAAAAACTTTCTTAAACTCGGACAGTACAAGTCGGTCCGACTAGTTAAACTGAAAATTGGTTAGGTATTTGATCCAAATCTCCTCCAAAAGCGGGTCCAGCTGGCCAGGATTTCTTTTTCCTTTTTTTTTTGGCTGCTGATTTCTGTTCTTCCTAAATTTTCTTCATCTCTAAAGCCCTAATTTCGCCATGTTTGGCACTTGAGTTTTTTGCCAAGTTTGTCTGCTGCAAGTTTTTTCAAAACTTTAACTATAGTGATCTCAAAAAATTTCTTAAAGTTTTTAAACTATACATTTTAAAATATTAAAAAAAACATACTTCAAAAATTTTTTTAAAATATTCGACAGTAAGTTATAGTAAAATTTTAGACAAACACCCAAAAAACTCATAACATATTTGAAATCTCAAGGAAAAATGTTCAAAAATTTTGCAAAAAGGAAGGAAAAAGATAGATCTATCAATCTTGAATTGTCATCTTCCAAAGATTTATAGTTCTACATAAAAAAAAAAGAAAAAAAGAAAGAAAATAATAAAAAGGAAAGACGGATTAGGGCCTCACAAGTTAAAAAGTTTCTAATAAAAATCGATTGATGTAAAACCTACAACTATTGTGGAATCTCCTATATTTTTGGTATTATCACTAAATTAGTTACAATAAATTGACAAATACAAATTTACACTAAAGTTGTATGAGTTTATACAAAAAATTAGGTTTTACAGCCACCGCTTTGAATTGAAAATTTTTTAACTTGTGAACCCTTGATCTGGATAAAGGTGGTGGGAGCCACCGGAGGAGAACGGCCTATGCCTCTTCAGAGAGAATGAACAAAAATGGAAATCATCAAAAAAAAAAAAAAAAAATTCAGAGGAATCTGGAAACTGTCGCGTGATGATGAGTGCTATAGAAGGATTTGGGGCAGGGTTTACGGTTAAGGGCCAAGATTTGCTCTCAAAATTTTGTGCGGCTGAGATTACACCATGTAACTCGATTTCCGCGTCAAGTGTGAGGTCCATCACTATCTGTTCTGAAAATACATCATGTGAAAAAAAAGTTACACGATGTACAAAAAAAGTTACGCGCAGTTGATAATGACCAAAATTGCCCGCAACCGTCCGTGCCCCGAGTCCGCTATAGAAGAAGATGAGGAATTGCCTTCTAAGTTTAGAATTTTTATAGTATTTCGTTTTGACCCTCCATCTTTTACATAATCCAAAATATACTACCAAACTTTTTTTTTTATAATTTCTCTATGCGACTTTACCTTTTGTATTTTGTACAAATAAGCCTCAATGTTGCTCTAGATTTATCCTCTTAAAAAATTTTAGGCTCATCAACGTACATTTGAACTTTAGAACCATTAACAAATTAATTTAAAACTTGACATTTGTGTTTTATTTAGGCTTAATTCTAAAATGCCCCTTATAATGTATTTTAGTGGCAAATTACTCCTTGTGTTCATGAAATACACAAATTGCCCCCTCTAAATTATGAAAAGACAGTTATGCCCTTATGTGCTTATTTCTTTGACATTTTCAACTTTTTGGCATTGAAAAACTAAATTTGTATACCAAAATTGGAATACAAAATATAACCTTTTGCCTCTGCATTTATTTATTTTTATATAGAAAACTATTATATTAATAAGGGCAAAGTTTCATGAATGATTAAGCTAAAGGGTAAAACCATCTTACAGTTTTTTTTGGGGTTAAAGAAAATCTTATAAATTTACTCTTAAGAAAATTTTTTCTTGTTTCCTCATACTCAAAACTCAAGAAAAATCATCAAAATTTGATTGATATAAAACTCCAAATTTTTATTTGAAGTGTTTTTAGGGTCCAACCAAAATGTTTTCTTCATAATAAGTTATTATGAGTAAGTTTCTAGAGTTGTGTAAATTATACCTCATTCTTTTAATATGTTATAATTCTTGTCAAAATCATGTAGCACTTAGTTTAGTAAAATTTTCATCTAAAATAACTAAAACCAATATGCCAAAAATATAATGATCATATGTGTAATATCATGAAAAAAATATAGCAAAAATGTTATTTGAAACTAAATTGTAGTAGGAAACTACCTTAGCTTAAGTGCTACATGATTTGGACAGAATTATAACATAGCAAAATTAAGAATAATGTTACAACCCTCTGGAAATTCACTCATACAATGTTATTATCAAGAAAACATTTTGGTTGGACAGTGAAAACACCTCAAATAAAATTTTAAATAGAAATCTAATATTCAACCGTTACCTAGTTTGAACATCTAAAAAAAAATAGTTGAAATTGGAAACTTTTAATTTTACGATTATACTTTAGAATTCAAAGGCTTTATTTGGATTGAAAAATTTGATAAAGGATTTAAAATCCACCCAAATTACTCAAATGTGATGGAACATTTGTGCGGTTCTCCCAAGCTCTTATTAACATTTAACTAATTGTCAAGCATACCGTCACTCAAATTGAATCGGCAAACTTTAGGAGGCACATGAAACTTAAATAAAGGACTATAACTGCAACGCAGTTAATAGAGTGTTGTTTTCTCAGTAAACAAGCATAACCATATGCTACTAGCAAATTTAATTCTCCAAATGGTCCTGCACAAGCCTATAAAAAAATTGTAACTATACGTTCCCCAATAAGCCCATTATTTATTATACATAAAAGGTAACAAACATAATGGGAAAATGTATATATGCTGCATGGATTGTTCGAATCTTTCTGTTTCATTGGCGCGTTTTCCGGACAGAAACTTTGAAACTTTCCTGAATTCAATCACACGCAGCATCAAGCATAAACGTCAATCTCCAGCTCAATCATTAGCTATATTTGTACCTGTCCAACCCTGAAAAATCAAGATTTATATCCATCCAAGCACACGCGGCATCACGCAGACATCAATCACCAGCTCAATCATTAGCTATATATGCCTGAAAAATCAAGATTTATATCCATCCAATTATCCCAGCCAAAAAAGAAAAAAGAAAAACCCATCAGCTTTAAGCTAGCTGCCTTGTGCCTTAAACTGCATTTTTTTTAATGAAATGGAGAAGTATTTGAGAAAGAACTTTGATGTAGAGCCCAAGAGGCCATCTGAAGAAGCTTTAAGAAGATGGCGATCTGCTGTTTGGTTGGTGAAAAACCCTCGAAGGCGGTTTCGAATGGTTGCAGATCTTGCCAAACGTGCCGAAGACGCGCGAAAGCTTGAAAATTTTCAGGTTTCACAACTAACTTTTCTGGTTTTTTACCTCTTACCTTCTTGATTATGTGACATCGTTTTCTTGTTTTTCATGATGTAATGTGTGTGATTTTTTTGGGCCACGTTTTAGAGTACTAATTGCTTATTATCTTGAATTCAAGTTGATTTAAAACATTTCTTGCTCTGCATTTGATCTTTTCTCAATTTTAATTACTTTCTACAATTATCTTTATTTTAATTTAATCCCTTTTCTTTCTTACTCAGTATTTATGTACAGAACCCTTTCCTTGTCTTTCTTCTTGCTCCACTTCTGAAATGAATGTTTACGTGTTTTTGTGGGTGTGAGTATGAGTGTTTTTTAGCTGCAACTACATAACGTATCAAATTGAGAACTATTCACTGTCTATCTTCTTCTGTGTCATGAATTTTTGGACTGACTTTTTCTTTGTTATGATTTTTATGCTTTTTTCTGTGTTTTTTGCCTTCTTCCTTTTGACCTTAGTTTGATTACTCTTATTTCACTTTGTTGTTGTTATGGAAATTGGAAAGTCCAAACAGTAAGCAACAAATTTTAAGCCTTTGGTCCATTTGTAAATCTCCTTGCAATTTCCACTTCACAATTTCACATGAGAAGAAGAGAAGAGTAGAAACTTTTGGTAAATTTCTTGAACATTGAGAGCTAGGAAAGTCAATTGTTAATAACCAAAATCAAGAAAAGGAAACGAAAAAAAAAGGGTAAAAGTTATGTGAAAATCTGGTTAATCTGAGCGTCAGACTTCAGCAGGTCTATAACAAATGTTAGAATACATAAACCTTCTAAAGCTAAAGGTTAAAACATGGAATTGTTTTTTTAGGCAAGCCCTACAATTTCAGAATTTGGACTGTTGTCCTTAATTAGCAAAATGCTTTCTGGGGGGGTCCTTAGTGAAGTATGCAAACAGCCTTTTTGGACACGGCAAAAGCAGAATGACGAGGACAACAACAGATTTTTGGTTATCATACCAATAATTGTTTGTCCATGCAGTTTTGCCATGAGTCCTGCAAAACCCAAAGCTGATCTTTAGGATTCCACCTAATTAATACAAAATCCCAAAGCTTATTAACGAGCCTTAGACTTCACTTTGGTATGGAAGAACTTTGCCTGTCATGCTGGGAACATCTTCAAAAACCCGAGTAAGTAGCCATTTTTTCAGTTTGTTGTGCTAAGAAATTTGAAGTTCTTTTCGAACACTCCTAAAAAACTACGTCTGCGGGATTATTTACTCTCTCTTATTAATCTCAAAGTATGTACTAGACAGAATACATGTAGTCGATCTGATTTCTCTTTCTCTTGTTGGACAAAAGCAAACAAATGGAGCTTTGATTTTTTTGTGGATGTTTTCTGTTGTTTTGTTATTCTACAAGTGCTAATTTCTAAAACCTTGAATCTATTATCAATTGTCTTTCTAAAGTTTGAGAGCTAATTCCATTAGTATATGCATCTGCCTTTTAGTTGTACTCATCATGGTTTCACCTTTTGAAGTACTTTGCATATATATATATATATATATATAGTACTGGCTCCCACGGTATTGACGAATTGACAGGTATGAATTGGATAAATTTTGAGCCGCATATTTGAAATTGAAGTGCAATATCATACTCCATTCAAATTGTAGTTTGCAAGTAGCACTTTTCACATATTTGGTCCTTTGGAAACTCAATTACTTTGAATTCCTAGCAAGTGTACATCAATTCTGACAACTTATCCATGAATAAGATCTTTGCACTAGAAGTTTTGTACTGACATCCGGGTTTTGCATGAAAGGATACAAGATTGACACCGTAAAGGGTTGGAAAAGTCATACATTCTGAAAAGTCATATACCAAGTAATATTTGTTGAAAAAGACAGATGAGTTTGACACTTACTCCCGGGACCCCATTTAATTGGCTGGATTTGAAATGAGGGGGCCTAGTAAATTTTGACTTCAGAAATTAAGAGTCTATTTGGATTGCTATTTTCTGCAGTTTTTTTTTTTTAAACGAACTATAGCGATTTAATGTATATAAGGTAAAATGGTGATTCAAAAATATATTTACGGAAAAGATAAAAAAATTTTTTTTGAAAAATTGCAATCCAAACAATTCATGGTAGCAAAAAGGGAGTCCTATCTAAAGTTTTTTGAACACCATTTATGAATTATGTAATTAGGAGTAATTTACTAGAGTGCCTTAAGCTTCTTTGAATTTACACTTTTCTACTTGGGACCTTTTGATTTAGATGCATAGTATTTATTAACTGAAAATTCGTCGGTTTTTCTTTCCTCCTTTGATTGTGTTTTCCACTTATTTTCTGTCTTTCTGTCAATTTCTCTTAGTCGCTGTCTACTGATTTCACGAGGAATTTCCCTATATCAAACTGACAATAACTAGTGCTCATATCTAGGGGTGATTTACCCAGGAAATTTCATTCAATTTAATCTCTATGTCATCTAGATGGAATAAATTGTCAATTTTCTGAGCTCACTCCTTACGATATTTAACTTGAGTCAAATTCTAACCATTGATTATGGCTCCCATTTTCTTTCCTTCTTACTGTTTTCATTCAAGAAAATGAAGCAAAATCCGTCTGAGGTTTGAAGAGAAAATAGTTTTTCTCAAAATTTTTCTGCTGCTAAATTTTCGTCATTTTTAATCTATGCTGGCCTCAACTAGTCAGGAGGTAAGATGGTGTTGAGTTTCTGAAACATTTTACAGAGTGCCAGAAAGACCAAGTAGCACTGCTCTTGTTGTTCAAAAAACACACACTAAATCATCGTGATCAGTCCCTTTTGTCTGGGGAAATTATTCGTGTTGGAAATGCAATCCAAGTGTCTGAAAATTTAATAGTTAACCGACCTCCTTATGCCGCCATAAATGTCCCTCCAGCTCTGTTATTGTCAAGACTTGGGATGCATACGTAATTGCATGAAATTGTTCCCCTCGACCTTTTTGAGGTGTAAAGAGTCAAGAAATAAGTTGAAGGGTCAAAGTTGGAGGTGACCATAACTCCCCGTGAGTTGTTACCGTAAATTTGGTGGAGTTTCAGAAGTAAAGTGATCTAGTCCCCAACATCAAAAAGATTATACTTGGGTGCTTGTACTTCATGAGTTGGGCTTGATCTATCTCCCAAAATGTGGACCTTGACTTATCATAAACAGAACTTGCAGGATGCATCAGCAACTGAGATATTTGGTTGAGTATCTTGCAACATTTGGAACAATATGGTTATTTTTGTCAAGATTGAAATATTTGTTTAATAAAATGTTTAATTTCTGACTTCCTAGCTTGAGTTTCCTTGGCTTTACTCTGATACGCTTTTTTTCTTCAGGAAAAGATACGGGTAGCTTTGTACGTTCAAAAAGCAGCATTCCATTTTATTAGTGGTATGGTCTTTACTAACTGCCCCTTGCATTGTTCTGTTTAATTCAGTTTTTCTGTTTCCATTTTGTTTCTTATTCTCATTTACGTTGGGCAGGGGTTAGTCGAGGCGAGCAATACAGGACATCTGAAGAGATTAAGCAAGCAGGTTATGGCATTGATCCGGAAGAACTCGCTACTATTGTGCGGAACCATGATTTCAAACGCTTGGAACAACATGGAGGAGTTGAAGGGTGTGCAAAAAAGTTATCTGTTTCCATCCAAAATGGGGTATCCTCCAACGAAATTCATCACAGACAGAAGATATTTGGAGTAAATCAATTTGTTGAGAAACCTGCAAGACCCTTTTGGATGTTTGTATGGGATGCCTTGCAAGATATGACTCTGATAATTCTCATGGTATGTGCTGTGATCTCTGTAGGAGTTGGAATTGCTACTGAAGGATGGCCAGGAGGTATGTATGATGGTTTAGGAATAATCTTGTGTATCTTGTTGGTAGTTTTAGTCACTGCAATCAGTGATTACAAGCAGTCGTTGCAATTCAAGGATCTGGATAGGGAAAAGAAAAATGTAATTGTTCAGGTTACCAGAAATGGAAGCAGACAGAAGGTATCTATACATGAATTGGTGGTCGGAGACATAGTTCACCTATCCATTGGAGATCTAGTTCCCGCAGATGGGATGTTTTTATCAGGTTATAGCCTGTCAGTTGATGAATCAAGCCTTTCAGGTGAAAGTGAACCGGTTGATATAGGAAGAGAGAATCCTTTTCTTCTATCTGGTACTAAAGTGCAAGATGGATCTGGTAAAATGCTTGTGACATCAGTTGGCATGATGACTGAATGGGGAAGATTGATGGATACTTTAAATGAAGGGGGAGAAGATGAGACACCATTGCAGGTGAAGCTAAATGGGGTTGCAACTATTATAGGAAAGATTGGTCTGACTTTTGCTATTTTGACATTTTTGGTGCTCACATTTAGGCTTATAGCAAAAAAGGCAATACTTGGTCAAATCAGAAAATGGTCTACCAATGATGCACTGGATCTGCTTAACTTCTTTGCTATTGCAGTGACGATTCTTGTAGTTGCTGTACCTGAAGGGCTGCCTTTAGCTGTAACACTGAGTCTTGCTTTTGCAATGAAGAAGCTGATGAATGATAGGGCGCTAGTGAGACATCTCTCTGCATGTGAAACCATGGGTTCCGCAAATTGCATTTGCACTGATAAAACAGGAACATTAACAACCAATCATATGATAGTTACAAGACTATGGATATGTGGAGAATGTAAGATTATAGGAAGTAACAGCTCTCAAAATGCTTTGATGTCTACTGCATCAGAGGAAGTACTACACACGCTTTTGCAATCTATATTTCAGAACACCAGTGGTGAGGTTGTGAAAGGAAAAGATGGAAAACCAAGCGTTCTAGGTTCTCCAACAGAGACAGCCTTATTAGAGTTTGGCATGCTTTTTTATGGCAACAGGGCTCCAATATTTCGTGAGTCCAAAATACTAAAGGTTGAGCCTTTCAATTCAAACAAAAAGAAAATGTCTGTGACAGTGTCTCTTCCAGGTGGTGGGGTTCGAGCATTTTGTAAAGGTGCATCAGAAATTGTACTGGGTATGTGTGATAAATTAATTGACAAGGATGGCCAGTCTGTCCTTCTGACTGTAGATCAGAGAAAAAGCCTAACAGATGTCATAAATGGCTTTGCCTGTGAAGCTCTTAGAACCCTATGCTTCGCTTTCAAAGATATAGAAGGAAATTCTTCTACAGATGATATTCCTGAAAACTCTTACACACTCATAGCAATTGTTGGAATCAAGGATCCTGTCCGCCCAGGTGTAAGAGAAGCAGTTCAGACTTGTTTAGATGCTGGAATTATTGTCCGGATGGTAACCGGTGATAATATTCATACAGCAAAGGCCATAGCTAGAGAATGCGGAATACTGACTGATGACGGCATAGCCATAGAAGGCCCAGAGTTTCGCGAAAAGAATCTGCAGGAAATAAAAAAGATAGTACCAAAGCTGCAGGTTAGAAGGATCTCTAAGATTGCTTTGTCTTTGTATGAAAAGAAGCACTTCTCTAAATGCTATATGTTTTTTTTTCTTCTTTTGCAGGTGATGGCAAGATCTTTACCTCTGGACAAGCACAAATTGGTGACCTTCTTGAGGAAAGAATTGAGAGAAGTGGTGGCAGTGACTGGTGATGGAACTAACGATGCTCCAGCTTTGCATGAGGCAGATATTGGACTAGCCATGGGCATAGCAGGAACTGAGGTATGTTGATTATGCAGTCTTAGTCTTTTATTTTTTTTTTTTATTTTGAGGCTGCCATCTATTATGTTACGTTATTACAACTAAGCAGAAATGTTCCTGCAGCATGTTTCATCCCCTTGTTAACTCTTCTTAATGCAACTAATGTAGGAGTTCAATCTAATGAGACTACTATGACAAAAACTTAAAGACTCATTGGTCCATTAGAGAAGTATATATAGCTGATAAAGTTCTTTCAAGTTTTTGGTCTATAGTTTCTTTCTTCATACATGATAACCTTACAACTATTTGATGTTTACATTCCCTCAATTACTTTCTTGCTCTGTCAATGTCCAATGTAAAACCATTTCATTTCTGCATTATTTTTAGTTCTTTTGACCACATTTCTAACACAAACCCTTATGCTGATATCTTATAGTTAATGTGATGTCTATATAAGCTTCCTAAACTTTTGTTTTTCTTATAAATTTAAAAAAAGGTACCCAAGGTTATAGATTTTTGCTTACAGCAAGTAATAAATGTGTACCTGTGTGTTTGCATTTCTGCAAGATCCATAATGCTCCAATAACTAGCTAAAGAAAGAAAGAATTCACAAGGTCAAAAAAAAAATGAAAGCATGTTTACTTGCCTAAACTGCCAAAGGTGCCTAACCTTTGATTTTCATAGCATGAGCACTGTTTTGCAGTACCATTCATTGCTCGACCGAAGTAATGGAAAATGGAATATCTATTAACCTGTTAAAGATGCATTCAGTCTAGATTCTATGGTGCCTCTTCATGCTTTCCCTTAATGACTTGGCACCTCCTTTCTAATTGCAGGTTGCTAAAGAAAATGCTGATGTAGTCATAATGGATGACAATTTCGCAACCATAGTGAATGTTGCCAAATGGGGTCGTTCTGTTTACTTCAACATTCAAAAGTTTGTACAATTCCAGTTGACAGTAAACGTGGTTGCTCTGATAACAAATTTCGTTTCTGCTTGCATCACAGGTTGCATTCAATTTTAGGCTTTAATCTTATAAAATATTCATATATTCACAGATTTTCCATCTACCAAACTATATAACATAGTAAATTCAATTTTTTAATGCAGGTTCTGCTCCTCTCACTGCTGTTCAATTGCTTTGGGTGAACATGATCATGGATACTCTTGGAGCCCTAGCACTTGCAACAGAGCCTCCACATGACGGGCTAATGAGAAAACCACCAATTGGCCGGAATGTTAACTTCATTACAAAGATTATGTGGAGGAACATAATTGGTCAGAGTGTCTACCAATTGGCTGTCCTTGGAGTATTACAGTTTCAGGGAAAGAAGCTTTTCAATCTTAGTGGTCCAGATTCCACCTCTACTCTCAATACCCTAATCTTCAACACTTTTGTGTTCTGCCAGGTACTTCCTAAAACCTTTTTACGTATTTGTTTCTTCAACCCGTAGAGGATAGTCTTCTGCATTCTACAGAAGCTGTTGATCTTGAATTTAAATTTCTGCAGAAAACATGGTTCAGGCCAGTTGCCATCTAAAAAATTTTTCCATCTTTAGAGAGAGTACATATTTGTTAATCTCCATTAGAACATGAATCCATTGGGTTACTTTCAAGTGTTTTGGTTTACAAGCTGTTCAAATTGTCAAGATTTGAGCCACAAACTTCACAGAACAGTCAGTCAGGACCAATCAGTTGAGGCCTCAAATCCTCAAATTTTTGCTACTTGTTAGCTTCCATGTCTCACTGCAGATTTAACCGATTGTAATCTCTTCTTGCATCTAGAATCATATTTCTCCACTGATTAACCAAGGCAATGAACATGGAAGCTTATCCTATTTGTAAAGCCATTTATGAGCTTCCATTTTGATGTAGTACTCGCCTGAAAGCTATTCTCGCACTTCTTGTACATATGCGTTTGCATTCATTATCAAGCTTCCCAATTGCTAATGTTGTTTTGAATATCCATGCATTCACCACCAGATATTCAATGAAATAAACAGCCGCGACATGGAAAAACTAAATGTGCTGCGTGGCATTTTTGGGAGCTGGATTTTCATGTGGATAATTGTCTCGACAGTGGCTTTCCAAGTTGTCATAGTAGAATTCTTGGGAACATTTGCAGATACGGTACCTTTAAGCTGGAATTTGTGGTTGGCCAGCATCTTTTTTGGAGCTGCTGGTTTGCTCGTTGGAGTTGTACTCAAGTGCATCCCTGTTTCGTTGGAGAGGAAGACTACGGCCACTGCTAGCAGCCATCATGATGGCTATGAAGCACTACCCACAGGACCAGTTTAATAATGCTCCAGAATTTTTGGTAAAACAAGGGAGACATACCATCACTTCTAAGAGCCTTATAGGATCCATAGAGAAGAGGGCAGCCTTGATTTCATCTTCCTTTACTTTTTTAGTCAAATCCTTCTTCATTTGGTTAGTTATGGATATAGGAATCCCATCTAAAATTTCTTCTAGATCTCCTATTTCTGAAGTCTTAAACAGCTGATCATAGTAAGAAGCTGCCTCCTTTCCCACCTCTTCTTCATTCACAATCCATTCTCCATCTGACTTTCTCAAATTCTATAGTCTATTCCTCTTCCTCCTACCCTTAACCATAGCATGGAAAATTGAATATTCTTATCCCCCTCATTCAGCCATCTTAGTCTAGATTTCTGATTCCAGTAAGCTTCTTCTTCATCATAAGCTGCTTTCAATTGCTTCTTAGCTTCCGACATTTGTTGTTTCTTATTATCAACATTTAGTGCCTTGATGTTCTCAATCTTTTTTTTGCATCCATTGATCCTTTCGAGTGAATTCCCTTTCTTACTGCTATTCCATTTTAGAAGCTCAATTCTGCAGTTTTTGATCTTCTGAGTCACTTGATACCATCTCGTTCCTTCACTTGGAATGTTCCATGCATCCCTGATTACATTCTCCATCTCCTTGTGCTGAAGCCACCTTTTATCAAACTGAAATCTTTTTTTTCCTTTTCCATTTTTCCTTCTGAGTTTCCAACATTAGCATGCTATGATCTGAGGCAATAGATTCAATGTGCTTGCAGCTAGTCTCATTAAAGCACTGGGACCATTCAAGGGTACATAATCCCCTATCAATTCTTTCTTTCACTTCTCCATCCCCATACCAATTATTACACCATGTCCATGGCTTCCCCTCAAATCCAATGTCTAGAAGTTGGTTATCATTTATGAAGTTCTTAAAATCCTAGCGACTCCTATCATCTCTAATCCTCCCCCCCATTTCTCATCATTAAATGCTATGTCATTAAATTCTCCCATAATGATCCATTTCTTTCCCTATATAGCTTTCCTTCTACCTATGACATCCTATTGTCCCCTCCTTATCTGATAATCACTACTTGCATAAATGCCAATGAACCACCAACTCTCTTTCTTTTCCTCATCTTCAATCTTAGCCTCGATAGTGAATGCAGTCCCTACTACTTCTGTAATTTTGGCTTCATTACTCCACATCAGTGCCATTCCCCCTGACCTGTTCATGGCCTCCACCACAAACATGTTATCCATATTCAATTTTTTTTTTCACTTTTTTCATGTAATTTTTCCTATTTTTTGTTTCACCAAGAAATATTATACTTGGGGAGAGGAGTTTGTTTTCCTCCTTCGAGTGGGGAACTGTCAAGGGGCTCCCTGCACCTTGGCAGTTCCACACTAGCACTCTCATGTTTGGTTGAGAGACCAGATTGGGTTGGTTTCTTCCCCCCTTAAACCACTAGTATTGCCCTCATCAGTACTATCCATTTTGTTTCTCTTGTTTGGCTGATCAATAGAGTCCAACCCAGACATGATTTCATCCAGCATAAGAATCTTCCTTTTGGTATGGATACCGATCCCATTTTCTGAGTTCTGGATCTCATTCAGTGGTCTCCTACCTCTTGCACACCTGTTGTTCAAGGCCCTTGTTTTCCTTTCCTTTTTTATTTCCACTTCTTTGGATTTGTTGGTTCCCTCATCCACCTGCATATTTGTATTCATAGGCGAGACCTCATCCTGTTGTTTACTATCCTCACTTCTCCCTATGCTCCTTAGTTCTGAAGAGGTCCCCTCAGTTTTTGCTTCCTCCTCCTCCCCTCTCCATACTCGTCCTGTCATCTGATTTAACTCATTCCTCTCCACATCTACTTCTCTTATCCTTTCAGTCATCTGAACATCAAAGGTGTCCCTATTAACCTGCTGAGCATCAAGGATACTCACACCCTGCAGTGATTTCTGGCCTTGCCACAAGGTTACTTCAGTCATACCCCAAGGTTTTTCCCTGCTTGGTTCACTTATAGGAGTACTTGCCTCCTGCCCTATATGTTTCCCTAGGCTTTTCTTGATCCACTCACTATTTTGGAACCCCCATACCTGTCTATCTGGGGTATAAGTGCTGGAAGCATTGTCTTTTTGAGATGAGCCTTTCCCAATTTGAGCTCTCAACCATGGCCCATACTGATTTTCCTTTTGCCCTTTGTTGATAGTAACATTGTTCTTGCACTTCTTTTCACTATGGCCAATAATCCCATACTTATAGCAAAAGTCCGGGACTCTCTCATATCTGAAACTTACCCATTTCAAGGCTCCATTCATCTTCATGGTTGTACCTCTTAACAATGATTGGGTCATATTAGCTTTTACCAGGAGCTTAATGTGCTTCCCATTCTTACCTCCAGAATGAGAAATCAGCACCTCCTTAACCTCCTTGAATACCATCCCAATTTTCCTCCCTACTTCCTTTGAGATCCAATGAATAGAAAGGTTCCACACTTGTACCCATAGTGGGGCAAACTTAAAAGCTTCCGTACTTTCTTCAATTCCTTCCTCCTAACTACTGAGCACCAGGATTTGGCTATCCATCACCCATGGACCACCATTAAGAATTCGTAACCTGTCATTTTGTTCAGGGATAAAGAACTGGAATAAATTAGGCCCCAACTATGTTACTGATAATTGTTTTGGGTACCCCTAAGCTGCTGTGATAAAGTTCTTAACCCCAGTAAAGTTAGCCATTTTTTCTCCTCTTATCTTCTCAATAATACTATTTGAACACTTAGACACTCCTGCATCAACGTCATCCAGCCCTATCCACATCCCATTCTATTCTAAGCTGGACAAGGCAATTTTTTTTAACACTTCCTCTAATTCCTCCACCATGAGATCTAACGAAATCTAGCGGGATTCCTCTAACTATTTCCAGCCAGTGAAAAGAAGTTGACAAACCAGTAAAGAAAATGAACTAAGCTACTATCTTTTCTACGTAAATACACTACCAGATAGGCACAATACAACCCTACCATGCAAAAATGCAGAATTTAAGGCATAGTAAAGTGATACATGACTGTTATACCTGATTTTCTTGCTTTCCGTGAAGGTCCACTAACATTTAACACCTTCCTTCCTCTCGCCTTTTAGTCTCCATTAGTGGAGCTAGTCAGCCAATCTGAGACATCTTAAATGCAAATCTATTAAATACTCCTTGGACTTCAATGAGTGTCGGTTCTCTGCTTTCCGAATTCGGGCCTTCCAATGTTCTCTGTCTTTACATTTGTTTGGTTTTCTAGTATGGATTTGTTGTTGTTTGAGGAAGCGATTCACTGCTATGAATCTTGAAGGAAAAGGCATTGTGATGGCATTAAATTGTATATGAAGTCAATGTTGACTAAAGACTGACCTTCTTGACAAGAATATGTCAGTGTTATGGGTTCAAGATTTGGGAGCACTATTTATGACAATCCAATGGGTGTGAATTGAAGCAACTAAAGTAGAGGGATAGAGTGAAAAATTATCAGGAACAATTTGAGGAGATCTTACCTAGATGAAACTTGGCTAAGAATAATATAGTTAGGTGCAGTCATCAAGAGATGTTACTGTCGTGAAGTTAATAAACACTAAAGAGAATTTTGTTCTTTCATATTTTTTATTTTTATTTGTTCTTTCTTTAACTTAAGTTGGCTAGTGGGCTCCAATGTTAAAAACCAAAATGTCCAAAAAATTTCGATCTTATTTCACCCAAGTCAAAACTAACCCAACTCTTAACTGACCAAACTCAATATCTCAAGAGTAAGTTGGGCGGGTTGTTAGATATTTGATATAATTACCCTAACAAGAATAAGTTTATTACTTATTAAATGAATGAACCTAAAAAACTACAAAGCAAACTCAAAGAAAGAAAATTCCTTATCTTGCTGGAAGTATAAGGTCATGCTGTAGAGTACATATTACTACTCGAAACCATTTGATCATAAAACTAGATACTTTTGGTTACTTCTGGATCAAGAAAAACCTTAAAAAATCCCCATCTTAGTAACTACAATAAAAAGAAATCTACAAAAGGAAAAAAGAAAGAAAAGAAGATTCACAGGTATAGTCCTTTCAAGATAGAAGGTAGCAAATCTTAATTCTTTTAAGGAAAACTTCTCAAGTGTTTTTTTTAAAAGCTTATACATTCAAATGTTATGGCATAAAAGAGAGTCTTCATAACAAAAGTAACATCAGATGCATAGTTCACGAAATTTATAGAAACTGGAGGTTTGAAAAATGAAGCACTGGATTCATGTAGTCTGGGTTGGTAGGTGAAATTCCAAGTTCCTTGCTTGAATAGGAAGAAAATAATTGATTTAGAAGCAATAACATACTCCTATTTGAAGTAAGATCTAACAAAGATCCCATGCTTTTATGTAACGAAGTCTACATATGAAATTACAAATAGGAGAAATCCAAAGAATATCTACTCCCTCCATCCCATTAGAAGTGTCATACTTTCCTTTTCGATCTATCGCAAAATTAATGTTACTTATCAATAATGGCAATAAAAACTTTCAATGATTTCCATGATGCCCTTAAATCTCACAGCAAGATTCTTATATTTTAGTGGGCTCCCAAGTTCACCTATAAAATAGAGAATTTCCATTTGATGGTGTATGAGTATCATGTTAGAACTAGTAGGATTTGTGCATTGCACTTTCTCTAGAAGAGCTTGAAAACATATCATAGGTATGGGTCACACTATCTTATCATTACTCTATCCTGCCTTGAATGGAGCAACACGTCAGGCAGCATAGCTAATTCAAGCTGGGCATTCTTGGAACATAACCCACAACCATTTGAAATCTGAGCACTGTTGAAAAAATGTGGCCAAAGTATGGCCAATTGATCGGGACGAAAGGAGTATATAATTGTCCAAGAAAGGGATGCATAAGCTTTCATATTGATGTTTTTTTTTTGACATATTCAATCCATTAATGGTCCCGAGGCATGGCAATATATCAATTTGCCAAATTTTTT